TACAGCTTTCCTCTTCACTGTTTGCCATACATGTGGCAAGTGGTGGCCATTACCACGGTGCCTTTTTTGTAATCATCTCTTACTTGCGTGGTGGAACTGCCCACAGCATAAACACACTGGCCTAAATAACTCCACCTTTACAAAACTAGTGCGATAATGGAGTTTACTCACCTAGGTGTTGTGTTTGGGTGGTGGTTTTTTTTTTTTCCCCGTTGCAATAAAAATATGAGGAAATAATATTTTCTTCACTTCTGGAACTATCAATATATACAAACACACAGAGGATTTGGAGAACAGAGTAACCCTACAGAGTTTTCTAGATCCCAAACTCCAGAGATATTCCTTCTGTATTCAAAACAAAAGGATTCAGTACCTGCAGGCATTTGACAAACAGACCTGCAATTAATGAGTGCACCACAACACACATGCTGAGTCAATGCTGCGTTAGGGACCTAAGGCATAGATTAATCCTACTGTTGATCTCAAGGTCTAAATTCACTCTGTATTCCTAGAGAAAGAGGAGGTGGGGAAGGGAGAGATAACTGAGTCGAACCAAACTCTTTCAGCCACCTTATCTCAGCTTGCCTATAGAGGGCATCAAGGCCAGTTAGGCTGCTAGTTAAGGTCACCACCTATGTACCTAAATGGCAATCCAGATCTAGCACCACACGTGCTGAAGAGTTGGACTTCAATATTGATATTAATATCCGTGTCTGTACCCAGGTACCTCAGACTAGAAATAAAAAACCAGGAGAAAGGTGCATCTGTAGCTGTATCCTCAACACCCTTTGGCACATACGCTGCAATGAGTCAGCACTTGCAGCTTGGATTCAGAGTTGGACGCTACCTCCTGCATCTGGAGGGTAGGTAGGGCACAGGGGCAGTTTCTGGCCACCCTTGTCCCTGGACTATTTCTGTTTTCTAATTCGCTGACTGCCCACCATGAACTATGTAGGCAGTCCTAGGAACAGAAACCCAAGTTCCTCTGCTCCCTATTGATACCCAAGTGCTGCAGCTGAATATTTAGGCTTGCTTTGCTTTTGGCTTTCTAAATCACGCTTTCCTGGAAGCACATGATTATTAAGCCAGAACTGGATATTGCTCTGTCCTCAACCAAAAGCCTGGTGGTAAAGAAAGCTCTTAAGAGGTGGCAATCATGGAAACAAAACCCCAGAGAACAAGGCAGGTCAGTTACTCAGCAAGTAACTGACAGATGGGCAGATTCCATCCAAATACGTAGAAAAACTAATCTATACTCTGAAAAAAAAAAACACCACAACTGAGAAGCCCTTAATTAGGACAGGCCTATGAGTTTCCACAGTGCATGAGTGGGCACCATCAACACAGGAGCTACCGCCCTACTGAGCACCCACAGTCAGAGGGCCTTGCTACCTACTGGACTGCCCACAGATCACCTCAGCTGTAAAAAATGAGACAGTTAAGTACGCTGAAGTTCATCAACAGAGCTTGATTAGGAAAAACCACTGAAATGTGGCTCCTTTGGAATATGAGTGTCTCAAATATCCCAAAAAGGAAAGAGCCTAATTCGTTCACAGAAAAGCAATATTTTCCAGTTCAAACAGTACACCAAGGCTAGACTGTTATTCCCCTATAGCTGCCATCCTGCACTATACCACATGCCCTGGAAACCAGGCACAAAGAAACGGGTTTGTGGATGTGCAGAGGGAGAGAAGAAAGGTGTGAAAAGCATCATTAGAAGTTTACAAAAATATTACAAATACCTAAATATTTATTCTTCCTTTCCCAAGATGGTTTCTACAATAAAGACCCTCACAGACAATTTCCAGGATGATTTATCAAGCTATAAAACATCTGTGGTCACCTCTACTACAAATTTGTGTGCAATTGACAGTGTTTCTCACCTGGGCAGAATATTCTGCAGGTAATCGGAGAACCTCCATTAAATTGAAATTAAACTGTTTCTGTGGAAGTCTATTAGAGGTGGAGAACTCATGGTGATCTGTTCTTGCAAAGAGTCTTGAGAACCACTGACTTTATGAGGTATCATTCTAAACGTGGGACGAAGCCAAAACAGTCTAATTGCCCAAGCAGAAAAATCTTAACTCCTTCCCTGGTATATTCTCCGTAAGTCGTGAGAGATTGATTTATTTTATCCATCTCGTAGCACATCTTCCTTTCTGTCCTCTCATACTCACACACAAAATACTGAATAGACATGGGAACATTTCTGGTATTTCCACTGGGAATTCGAGAATGGTCAATAAGCCAACATTTAAAATAATCTGTGTAAAGACAGCAGAAGCCACTTCAGGCTGCAAGGTAACTGGCCTGGCCTTTAAAAGCACCATGAGATGTCTAACGCTGCACAGCAAAGAAATAGGTTTTGACAGTTAAAACTGCACACAAAAACTAACTCTACATTGAAATATACAGTTTATTTTCTCAAAGTCAAGCAATACCATTTGTCAGTAGGTAAGTGTTAAGTGTCAGGCAGGAAAACTGTACATTTTCACTCTGGACTGCAGGATCCAAACAGCTGGAGAAACATAGTGGAAATTTTTCACTGTACAAAGAGACCGGTAAGTGGGAACAACACAGGGTGAAGAAACAGCCATCCCCAGGATGCCAAAGGCAGAACATTAGCACCAGATTTTTTCAAAAAGCAACAGTATAGCTATTTACAGATTTACATAGAACACTGGGAGGCAGCCATCTTCAGGTTCCTGGGGTGAGAGATTTTCAACGGTTTTAAAACAGGAAAGGAGAGAACGCGTGTCTACACAACTGTTCCATGAAAAGGGTAATATATATAGCATTCACAATATTGCTACCTTTTATCAGAAAGATCTAAATCAAAGTACTGTATACAAACACATTGTAATTATATTATTATTCACATTTCACATACACATTTCTGAGTAACCACAATATGTAAAATTTTTAAAATGCCACACATAAAAACAATACACACTTTTCTCCAAGCTAAAAGACAAGCATAATTTATTTGGGAATTGTTTAGTTTTGGGTTTGTTATGGTTAAGGGATAAGTTTAAGGACAAAGGGATCACTTGTCCTAGGAACATAGCAGCATACAACTGTGAGATGCCAGAAGACCACATTTCTGAACTAGGAGGAAGAAACTGAAGTCAGCTGTAGGTCTTGTAAAGTGGTAGCTCCATTTGACCTCAACTGATACAGATCAATATAATTTCATTAAAGATTTGGTCCAGGTATGCAAAGTAGTGCACTATAAAGGTCGGGGGGGAACAGTCCTTTTAATGTTTGCACCTGTCTGTACAGGGAATGGTTCCAGAACATTTTTGCTCCCCAGTTCCCCAGCTCGCATGGAATTTGCTGCTTGGCACCTCCCCAGTCCTCTGCCTGCGAACGAGAGGATTCAGGTAGAGCAGGACAGAAAACCTTCTATGAATGCTGCCACGCAGGAATAGTGTGAATTCTTTTCTCTCTTTTTTCAACACTCAACTACTTGTATTTTCAACCTGCTTAGCTACAGACTGGCATTCACATCAGCCTTGGGAATGGCTTCTTGTGGGGCAACCCGTTTGTCTACAGAGAGAGAAATGTCTTCCTTACTACAACGTAAATGGCAAACACACAAAGTCACCCAAGACTCTCCTTTGCCTGCAAAACTCTGTCTTTACACAGAACTTGACATGTAGCCGCTACAGGATCTCTCTGTAGGCATCTGAACAAGTCAGCGTAACCTATTACTGCGCTAAAACGTGACTTAGCACCTCTTCTTAGAGCTACTGGAAATCATCTGTTGTAAGTCAATGGCAGCATTATGAGGACATGAACAGTAGCCTGATACTGTGAGCTAGCATCCTCTCATTTACCATCGAGCAATGGAAGAAATAACCAAACAAAACCCACTTACGTTCACAGTTACAAAGCAGAGCTGCTGTGTGTAATGCACAGTATTTACATGGCAGAAGTGTTTATATTGCATTTGGTAGTCTGAGAGAGCAGAAAGAACCAACAGCGTTATGTAGGTCAACTTCAGACTAACTTAATTGTCTCCATAAAACCACCACAGTGTGGAGCAATCAGAAGAAACACCGAAGCGGTGTCCTTACCCTACATTTATTTTCATAAAGTGTAGCAGGTTTGGGGGAAGAAGAATAAAAACATGCATAAAAAGCACAAGAAAGAGCAAATGAGCCTTCTAAATAATTTAGATGAGAAATGTTTTGAACAAAATCAGCACAGTAGTTCCAGCCTGTTTCTTAAATACAACTCGGTAAAGAAAATCACTTGCATTGCAGGAAGAAGGTGTACAAATACACCTTGAAAAATAATAATAATAATACTAATAAAAAAATTCTTCAGCAAGGTAGCCATCTGGTGATTTGCAAGCTGGTTTAAGAGCTGTTTAACTGAGACTGATTTTGAAGTTATTTTCTGCAAGGGGAAAGTGCCATCCTATATACAATATTACAAAAAAGTGTCTGATGCCACAGGATCAGAGTGACACTACATTTCAGCAATCTGAATATATTAGCTATAAGACGCACGCTTCCCCTATTAAATGTGTCTTTAAAAAAAAATAAAAAGCCACTAAATTTAGAGCTTCTAAATTTGTGTGCATTCATAAATTGCTGTTGGGTTTCCCAGCAGTCTGTACAGCACCTGAACGTAAAGAAAGTATACAATCTAATCCAAAAAATGTTGTTGTTTGCATGCACAACTGCCACAGACTTTCAACTTACTGAGCAGAAAGGTTAAGAGGCAATCCTTTGCTGTGGAGTTTTCTGTAAGTTAAGCAACAAGAAACAGCTGCAGATTCCAGCAATAAAAACGTGTTCTAAAAGATTAAATACATCATCCCAAAAAAAATGAAAGAGAACATTATTGCTGTTGTGAGAGCTATTTGTCTCTTGTGCACTTGCTTCTCTACCAGACACTCAGTCAAGCCAAGGTACTCTTTTGTATACTTGGAAACTCCTCCATCCCTTCCTTCTCTCCCGTTTTTCACATCTTGGTTAAACTCTGTCCTCTTATTTGAGCCGTTCAGGTTGGAGGCTATCGGTCAGACACTTCAGTTGCTCTTCCCCCAGCTTGATCTTGTCCTCAAGCTCTCGCTGCTCAATGATGAGGGCCGACTTCATTTTTACAAAGTGCTCGTAGTCTGCTAAGTTCTCCTCACTCAGGTAGTTCGCCAAAATGTCAAAGACAATGCGCTCTCGACGATCCAGGTTTTCCTTCAGCTCCTTTGCATCTTCATGTTGCTGGGTCAGCAGCTTCTGCTTCTCTACCAATGTCCGCTTAGGAGAGAAGAAAAACAGTTAAAAATTCACTGGCTTCAGCAGGTTGGGATAATAGTGTCAGAGTTTAAGTCTTAAGTCTGTTTTAGCTGCAAAGACAAAGACTTTCCTGAATACTTAGAGAGGTGGAATAAATTTATTGTAACAAAAAGCATTAACAAACAGGAAAAAAATGTGGTGAGCCAATGAAAGATGCATCATTAATTTCAATTGGCCTCAACAGCAAGAACTTCAAAGGCTGCTTTACTATTTAAGAGTTCAAAATAGTCAAATAAAATACAGTTGCCTTTGTGAAACATCCAAGTTCTCCAAACTAAGACTTCACTCAGCAATGTCTTAAATCTTCAATACACAGCATTGAACTTCCACACTGGAACAGCTGCGGACCCAGAAACGTACTAACAGAAAGATTTGCTCTCACACAGCTCCTGACACTGCAGCATTTCATGGTTCTGCTGCAGTTGGCAGCAGCTTCTCCATGAGATGTGATGTTGAACACAGAAACACGTGAAGAAAGAGGACAGAGGCTACATCCCATTCACACACATGTACGAGCACAGAGGGCGAGGTACATCTCATCCAACTTCTCCTGTCTACTCAGTAGACAGCCACACCTGAATTGCTCAGCTATACTCCTCTAGCAGTATATGGAAAGAAACAGGAGCATTATTAACCTGACCTGTTTCAGACATCTGCCTAGAAGTTATTGCCTTTTTCCAGCAACAGAGTATGGCTGGCCTACTCTGACGTCAAGAATTCCTGTACAGGCTTCTGAACTTAATTAAAAAGTGCCCCTCAGAGGTACCACTCCATAACTTCTAGCTTTGCTTCAGAGATGAATTTTCTTTCAGAACCTGTGTCTTCAAATAAACCACAGCCTGTTAAAATAAATGTGTCCTTTTTTTTCGTTTGGACTTCATTTTAAATCACACATGCTATAATAAGCCTAAGGGATTTACAGAGAAGTGTTTGTGTAGACTATTCCAAAACAGAGCCGTTCCAAGATGGAAGCGTTAGGCAAAGGGGGACGCAGACCAGCAAGCTCTAGCAGCTTTAACCTGTCAGGGCTGCACATGTCTCCTGTGCTGACTCTTTTCCTACAGACAGCACCAAGCTCAGAGGGTGAAACACTTTCAGACTTGAGCTCTCTATGTACTGAAAATATACAGCCGAGATTAACTCAGGATTCAAGACAGCTATGGAAGACAAGTCACAGAAATCACACATTATTAGAAAAACCACAGTTTAATCTTCCTTTGAGCTTATGCCAGGGAAAAAAAAAAAATCCCACTGCAAGTTACAAGGAGAGCTATCTGCAGCAGAGAGATACAAGTACTGTTCTCCTAAATTCACCAGGAGAACTAGCAGCCAAGCCCAAACTGGGCAGCATGGCTCGACTGCTCCCCAGGGCAACCTTGCAGCTTATGGCTACACTGAGCAGCACCAGAATAATAAGACAGAATGTGATGAACACAACAGGGCACGTTATGAACCAGCTGATAGCTCTGTTGCAGAATTACCTGCCTGATCTTGGGAGGAAATAACTGCTTTTCAAGCCATTCATTATTACTGTCAACAGACACAAGAGCTATCAAATGTTCAGTCCTTTGTAACAATTTCTGGTATCTAAGTCATACGGTTTCTTCTGACCAAGCCTATGGCATGAGTATGAGATGGACCTGAGTAACCTGACAGTTTAAGGAAAGTAAACACTTCTTTTGTTATGAACCTTGCAGACGCCTTCATACCTCTGCCCTTGTGGAGGTTTAGGGAACACCTAAGAGAAGTTGGATGGAGAAAGGAAGAAGGCAAATGACATATCTCTTGAATTTGCCTTTGCTATGTCAAAGATGACTGACACCAGAAATCTGTTTTGAAGGGTAAAGTGAAACACATTGTTGCAAGCTCAAGATGCCATTCTTAAGGAGGTCAGTTGAGCAATGGTTAAATGGGTCACCAGGCCTAAAGGTGTAAATGATGTCAGATGGTTTCATCTGACTGTCTTCATCACTGACCAAAACTTCTAGATGTGTTTCTGATGTTAGTATGGCAAGACTTTGGTCTCAGTGCGAGAATAAAAATGGGGACTACAATACATTGGGGATTTGGATTTGTCAGTCTGAACTTGACAGCAGAGCACAGAGACAATTTCTGACTGCCCTCACTACACCACCTACTCACCCTTCTTCCTTTGCCACACCTAGCCAATAACTTATTCTGATTATAACAGCTCTCAAACTGTGTTTCCTATATGCTCGTATCATCTGGTAGCTCTTTCCCCAGCTGACACCCCCATCCTTGAGCCCATTAGGCAACTGCAACCACATTTAGAAAAAAGAATTCTAGAGAGGGATTAAATTTCTTTAAGTTTTTGAAGCTTTGATCTGCCCTCAAATAAGCTGTCAAATACCTTCTGTTTGCCTCAGTCAGAGAAGGGTCTGGACATCCATTAAACAAGTATGTTTGGCAGCATCTAGGGCCAAACACCAAAAACACAGCTTCAGATTAGTCCCAGCACTTACTGGTTCTTATTGGTCAAACAATGGTGCACACTGAAGAAACACAACATGAAGCCACAGTGTGTGGAAAAAATTCTGTTACAATATTGAGGTGGACTCCTGGCATTTCAGCGCACAGCTATAAGCCAAAAAACCCATTTCACATTCATTTAACTGTAGAAGTCAAACTCACTTGACACACATCACCTCCCTGTTCCCCCCACCCCCCCTTATTTATTTTAGCCTTTGAGTTTCACACACATCTGTATCTCTCCTTTGGTGCACATCTGTATCCCTAGGTACCTCCTTCCCAGCTAAGGCCTGATGGGATTTGGAGCTAAACAAAGTGCTGCCAGTAGAGGTGGGATCCAACAGGACAGAGTGCTTCTGAAATTTTCCTGTCTGCTGGGATTCCTTCACATTGCTACCAGGCTATTCTGCTTGGGTAAAACATGTCTTCTGCTGAAAACATCCCTACTTTTTTTTTTTTAAGACTTGTCCTTCTGTCATCTCTTGCTCTTGTTCCTTGCTAGGCATTATGGAGGAAGCTGTAGTAGATAAACCTTTTCTTTGTAAGAACCTTACATAGATTTTTATCAAGATCTTTGTTAAGTATAAAGAATTCTGTAAGATTCATGCACTACAGCACAAAGCGACACTCCTTTCCTCATGTTGAATTATTAGAATATTTTTGTTTGCCTCCTTGTTATGCACTTATGAGTAGTTCCCTCCCTTCTTTACACTTCTGCTATGAAGTATGTTTTCCACCATGTTGCATCCCAAAGCGACATTTTTTTCTTACCAAGTGATTTGTAGTTTTAGTATTTCAAGCAAAAGCAAGGCAGAGAGAAAAGCTTTAAGAAATCTAAAGAAAATGGCCTTATGAGATTTATCCATTCACTATCCCTCAGTCTGAGCTCTGCAATTTAGATAAACACAACCAAGTAAAACCCCCCCAGCAGGTTCACTACGCGCAGTGATGGTCC